TTGCAAAAAAATTACACAAATTATTACGCTGATAAATTTTAATTATTATATGAAAAATTATAATTTATAATTATTTGAAAATAATTAAATTATTACATTTAAAATGATTATATATTATAATATTTGCAAAAAATGTACACAAATTATTACACTGATCAATTGTAATTGTTATATGAAAAATGTTATACGTTTATATTTTGTAATGATGTGAAAATTACTACATTTATAATTACATATTTGTAAAAATACAGTAAAATTATTATAGATTGCTAAATTTTAATTATAAGAAAATGTGATTTTATGTGTATATGTATACAATACACACACACACACACACATCTATATAAATGATGAATATATTCAAAGTGACTTAAATCATTTTTGATGCACATTCGTTAAAAGTTGTGAAAATATCAAATATTCACAGAGTTCAATGTTAAAAAAGTTAATTGAAACTTCATCAGAAATGGTGTGAAAGCTGATGAGGACCTCATTTCCATGTGCCAGCGCTGTTCATCCTCTTGTTGTCTCTTCAGCACAGATTTCTGCTTCTGCTTTCGCAGTTTGACTTCCAGAAGTTTCCGTGCTCGATTACTGGGCTTGATCTCCACAGGAAGGTCTGGATTCACTTTTTTCTGAAGATTAGATAAAAAATGGGTCAATAACTGCAGCCCTGCAGGATTTCGAGTCTTTACTATCGGTTTTATAATGTCTTGTGTTTTTAACTGAAGTATTTCAATAAAGTGAAGCGGTTTTGCACTGATTTTAGACTTAGAATTCACTTGTTATGAATAATCTGATCTTTCATGAAGTTCCCAATAAAATGAGAAGATAATCAACCATTAATTTGTCAAACAGTTAAATCGCTTGATAAGCCAAAAAAATCTCTTAAAGTTTTTCTTTGAGTTCATCAAATTAAAATAAATAAATGAATAAAAGCTAAATAAAATGAGAAAACCAAGTAATATTAAGCAATTTCATTGGTCAAGTAATTTTAAAGTATTTAAACTTGTTTATTATCAAAATAATTTTGTTGAATTTAATAATTACATTAATATACAAAAATAAACATACATACATGTATAAAAATAACTATTTAATGGTATAGTTATATTATGAAAAAACAATTCCTTTTTTTGTTTTTTCTTTGAGTCCAAGTTCTAAATAAAATGAAAAAAATAATATTTATTTAAAAATCTTAATTAATTTATTCCACAATAGGCATACTCGGGTTTATTATATAAATAATTATTTGTTCAGTTTAATAATTCTATTAATATACAAAAATATAAATGCTTATATTTATACACAAAAACGGCTATTTAATGATAATTATATCATGAAAGAATTTTTTTATTAAAAACTACTTTTTTTTTTGTTCCATTTTTCTTTGAGACCATCAAGTTCTACATTAAAAAAAAAAATATCTAATTATATTAAGAAATTTTCACTGGGCAAGTATTTAATTTACTTTTATATTTTTTTAGTTATTTGATGAATTTAATATTTATTAATATACAGAAACATACTTACATACATAAAAAAAAAAATAGCATACGATGTTTTGTTTTCTTTCTTTCTCAGGATGACGTCTTACCTTGTACTGCAGCCGGTGTCTCCGTCCCTTCAGGTGCATGTCTTTAGCGTTGGGATCGTTGAAGCTGCATTCACACAGTTTACAGTGAAAGCGAATAACCTTTCCTTCGTCATTTCGAATCTGTATAGGAAAAAAAGGAAAGGAAAAAAGAAAAGAAAAAAAAAAAAAAATCACAATTCAGAGACTTTAATCCCTCAACAGAATGACAAATACCCAATTATCCTAGAATGTCACACATTTACTAGAAGAAATCCTTTTGATTCAGACTGATTTGCTAATAAATATGATTTGCGAATCAATTTGACTGATTCATTGGGTAAAAAAAAAGACAGATTCACTGTTTTTGTTCAAGTTTTGCTCAATACATTATTGCAAATAATGAAATAATTTGACTGAACGGTCTCACCTCTTCAACATAATCGTGTCCCACAGGCTGAATGTCTCCTTGAGCTCCAGTACCGTCACCATCCTCATCTTCACTCAAAGCGTCCGACTTCACTACAGACGGCTTCGCCTCCTCCAGCTTTACCGGAGCTGGTGTGGACGTTCTGCTGCCTGGAGAGAAATGGATATTAGGGAATTTACTATATTTCATGTTTCTGTAAGATGGCTGTTCATAACGTAACCATGCTACCAAAATGTTTATGTTGTGCAGGGTTTGTTGTACGATTACATCTACATCTATTAGCTCATAGCCTGTTGTTATCTACATAAAGCAAAAAGACTGAGCAAGACTTCTGTGTTGATGTCATGTTACATTCTGAAAAACGCATTGCATCAACATGACGTCTGAAATGTGTACGAGGAGATTTTTCTTCTGCAAGGCAGGATGTAAATAATCTATTCCCATCCTGTGGGTTTTGTGAGTGAAACACTAAAGAGGAAATATCATCTATTTCTGTGATCAGTGTGACCACTGACTGCGTAAGTGCTGGTGAAATTAAGATAAGAAGGTGAAATGAAACGCAGAAGAAATCTATAATCTCTACACTGGAAACCTCAGGGATTTATGACTATTTTGTGTGACCAAAACTAAGCTTAAACACATTGTGCTTCATTTATGTGCAAACAGGCCTTATAAACATTCTTACATAAACTGTCATTGTAAACAAATTTAGGTGTAAAATCGCTCAACTTTGTTAACATTTGTTAAAATTAGTTAATGCAACGATGAGTGAAACATTTATTAATCTTTGTTAAATGTTAGTTATTAAAAATACAATTTAATAAAAGAATGTTTTCACATGCATTAACTAATGATAAAACAAACAACTTTTGATTTAAAAACATCTATTACAAAATGTTAGTTCATGCCAAATAATGTATTTAACAAATGCGACCTTATTGTGAAGTTTTACCAACATTTCTTAAATAAATTTGCACAAAATCTGAAAAATTCTTAGTTGTGAACCAATTTTTGCTTAAATTGTTGCAATTGCATGATTGCACAAACTTATATTCGCAAACAACTCATGCAAGGCTAGTTTTACGTATTATTTACACAGAAAGTTAAACAAATGATGCCAAATAAGTTTAGTACGAATTCATCAATCAATTGTAAAACTGTTATGTATCGAAAATATGACTGAATTTCTGTGTAATTCATTCTTACATAAAAAAAAATCGTAAATAATTACTAAAATCATCGTTATGTAAACTGTCACAACTGCACATGAATTTATAAAACATTCACATAAGCTCCGATGTAAATGTCGCAAATGCGAACAAATTCCTTTTAATCATTCAGTAGTTTTATACTACATACTTGTGCAATTGTGACAATACTAAGTAATTCGCAAAACCATTCTTGTCAGTTCTCGTAATTGCGAACAATTTCTGCGCAAGTCATTCGCAAAGTTAATTGTTTTGAAAACAGATAGTAGTCTGAATGATTTACACAGAAATTCATTCTGCTCACGCTTTACGAAAAAGGCCCTAAATCATTATGTAAACGGTCTCAACAGCAAACGAATTTATAATAAATTCACATAATCCCCCGTGTAAATGTTGCAAGTGCAAACAAATTCCTTTTAATCATTCAGAAAACTTGTTTTATACTACAAACTTGTGCAATTACGAAGACTACGTAAATAATTCAAAAAAGCATTCTTGTGTAAATTTTCGTAAATGCGAAAAATTTCTGCACTAGTCATTCGTAAAATTAATTGGTTTGAAAACAGATAGTAGCCCGAATGATTTACACCAAAATTCGTTCTGTTCACGTTTCACGAAAAAGGTCCTAAATCATTATGTAAAGTGTCGGAACTGCAAATAAATTTTTAATAAACTCACACAAACTCCAATGTAAATGTCGCAAATGCAAACAAATTTCGTTTAGTCATTTGGAAAACTTGCTTTATATTATCTACTTGTGCAACTGCAAAAATATATAATTCACAAACCCACAAATTCTCATGGTCACCAAAAATGTTTTCCGCACAAGTCATTTTAAAAATGTTTTGTAACAGTGTTCCGAATTATTTACAGAGAAATTCATTATGCTAACATTTAACGAGAAGGCCCTATAAGGTCACTCACCGATAATGGCAACTTTAGCAGTGGCGGGTTTTTTCGCAAGAGACGCCGTGAGTTTGGAAGGAGCCAGCGTCTTCTGCGCCACCGATGTAGAGGTGGGAGCGGTTGTCGCCGCTGTCTTGCTAGTAGTCATTGTCACGGCAACAGGGGCAGAGCTCACGAAAACGGGCTCCGTTGAAGGGATGGGTTTGCCAAGTTTGGTGTGCAACTTCACCACCTGAGGAAAAGTTTGATAGCAGTTGCATTTCAACGAAAAGATTCGAAGAGGCCAACAAAACTGCTACACCAAAACATGTCGAAAAGCCCAAGAGCACTGAAATGGCCAAATTAACCAATCATGGCATTTAACGAACCTTCTGGTGCTTGGATCCCCGGATGTGTGCAGCGTAAGCATCGGCGCCGGTGCATGAGACGTCACACAATTCACAGCGCAGCTGCGTCTGGACTCCACGAGGTCCGTTGGACACCTGACTGCCGCTCTTCTGAGCCGCCTCTTTCTTCTTGTGCTTCTGTCCTTCCAGATGTTCTCGATATGTCTGCAGAAGAGCACAGGATCACGAGTCAATAAAGAAATACGTTTGCAAGTACTTTCCACTAAATGTGGGAAACTTTAAGGGCAAGACACTACAGGCAAAAACATTGTCTTGCTTTTTTCAATGCACTATTTGGCTTTTCATAACACATTGTTGAAAAGTGGAAACAAAACATCCAAAATACTTGTGTTATTTTATTATATTGCACTTTAACTATATGCATCTATAGATTTCAATTACAACACATATCTTTAAAGTCTGTCTTCTAAAATAGAGTTTCTCAACTTTAGTAGAACTTACATACTCCAAATGTTACAGTTATATTCTCATCTATAATCTGAATATTTTTACTGAGGGGTTTGTTCATATATCGTTTGCCTGTTTTTTACAACATTTTATTTCTAAAAACATGGTGAAATTTACCTTATTTCTTGATGTTGACATTATTTTTTTTTATGGAGTGATAAAGAGGAGATATTCAAAATCCCCTCTGTAGAAACCTTTGACTCTAATATGTCAACAAAATCAAACAAGAATTTTGATCCTGGCCTTACAGATTTCATCTGTGGAAATGTATGCAAATTGGTGGATGTTTAATTAAATAATGCCTCACTTGCATATGTAAACATAACATTGTAAAAAACTTGTATTACAAAAATGATTTGCAATTCTTAATGTAATCAATCCACTGGGGAAGTATGGTGACATCCATTAGTTAATTTTTTTTTACCCTATTCACCTGGGGTGTCTTGCCTTAAATATCTGTATCCCATATGAAAATGTTTAAAAATAGTTTTAAAGTAAAGCTCAAAACATCTATTCTCTCTGGCTTTTAATTATAGCTGATTTATTGTGTGGCTGTTGGTCTTCAGGCTCATTTTTGTGTGTTTTTATTGGCTGTTTTTGGACTTTTGGTCAACACACATTGGTCAACAATTGTTGCATTTAAAGGAATAGTTCAGCAAAAAAAGGAAAATTTTCTGATTATATACTTACACCTATGCATCTTGGATGGCCTGGGGCTTTCTTTCTTCAGCCGAAGAGAAATTAAGGTTTTGGAGGAAAACATTCCACTATAGATTACAATTTCAATACATATCTTTAAATGCCGTTTTCTCAAAATGAGTTTTTTCCTCCATTTCAGCAGCACTTACATACACCAAATGTTACAGTTTTATTCCCAACTATATCCTTAAGATTTTCACTGAGGGGTTTGTTCATTTATCATTCGCCTGATTTTTGTTAAACATAACAGTTTAGAAAACTTGTAATACAAAAATTGTATGCAATTCTTAATGAACTGACACAAAAACTAGGGTTGTGTGCATTATTATGAAGCTGCCTAAATATGGATTTTGGACAGTCGAAAATGATCGAAATAGGGTAAAAACTGAACTAATGGATATAACCATACTTCCGCAGTGTATTAATTGCATAAAAAAATGGCAAACATTTTTTGTATTACAAGTTTTCTAAAACATTATGCTTAAATATCTAAGGAATAAAAACCAGGCGAATTATATATGAACAAAACCCTCAGCCGTGTTGGGGAAAGTTACCTTTAAAAGTAATGCATTACAATATTGCATTACTCCATAAAAAAGTAACTAATTACATTACTTGGTTACTTTTATGGAAAGTAATGCATTACGCTACTTTTGCGTTGCTTTCTGTCACCTTGGATGGGCTTGCTTACTTGTTTTTTATTAACAAATAAACCGTAAGTTATATTTTTTTACAACTGTAAAGGCCCTTTCACACCATAAGCGAAATGATTAAGCCTCAGACTGAAGGGAGTGCCTCTGTCTCTGCACCTCACTCCTAATTTCTCTCAACACGGGATAGTAGAGGCGCCATTAAATAAATGGGAAAACAAAGTAATGTGTTACTTATTTGAAAAAGTAACTCAGATGTTTCATTGTACATTCAAAATTAATGCATTACTTTACTAGTTACGTGATAAAAAGTAATCTGATTACGTAACTTGTGTTACTTCTAACCATAGACTGTATAAAAACATGGACGTAGTGTCCGTGACGTCACCCGTAGTTTTCTGAAGAGCATTTTTATGGCAAACATTTTTTGTATTACAAGTTTTCTAAAACATTATGCTTAAATATCTAAGGAATAAAAACCAGGCGAATTATATATGAACAAAACCCTCAGCCGTGTTGGGGAAAGTTACCTTTAAAAGTAATGCATTACAATATTGCATTACTCCATAAAAAAGTAACTAATTACATTACTTGGTTACTTTTATGAAAAGTAATGCATTACGCTACTTTTGCGTTGCTTTCTGTCACCTTGGATGGGCTTGCTTACTTGTTTTTTATTAACAAATAAACCGTAAGTTATATTTTTTTACAACTGTAAAGGCCCTTTCACACCATAAGCGAAATGATTAAGCCTCAGACTGAAGGGAGTGCCTCTGTCTCTGCACCTCACTCCTAATTTCTCTCAACACGGGATAGGAGAGGCGTCATTAAATAAATGGGAAAGCAAAGTAATGTGTTACTTATTTGAAAAAGTAACTCAGATGTTTCATTGTACATTCAAAAGTAATGCATTACTTTACTAGTTACATGATAAAAAGTAATCTGATTACGTAACTTGTGTTACTTCTAACCATAGACTGTATAAAAACATGGACGTAGTGTCCGTGACGTCACCCGTAGTTTTCTGAAGAGCATTTTTGAAGCTCAAAGTGGGCGGAGCCGGCCGTCGCCATCTTGGCAGCGCGGATACCCCAACACTGCCCCTCAGTAAAAATCTTCAGAATACAGATGGGAATAAAACTGTTACGCTTGGTGTAAGTGCTACTGAAGCACAGGAAAAAGAAATTGGCCTTTAAAGATATGAATTGAAATTTAAGTCTACAATAGATTGGTAACAATCAACTGACACATAAATATATATATTGGACTGTTGGAAATGGTGTACGGTGAGCACCATTCACTTGCATTAAAAAGAGAAAAATCCTGGAATATTTTTCTCTAAAACCTGAAGTTCTCTTCGGCTGAGGAAAGAAAGACCTATACATCTTGGATGGCCTGAGGGCGAGTGAATTATCAGGAAAGTTTCATTTTTGGGTGAAGCTGAATGTGGAGTTCATGCAAACGCTCACCTGCGGACCGGCACAGCTTATCTTGCAGATATCGCAATAGTGCAGCTGTGGCTGTTTGGGCGGCCCTTTGGGTTTTTGGATTTTGCTCTGGTGGAAAATGGGTTTCTTGTATGCATTGACGGTGGGGGTGGTGACTGCGCCACTCCCGGTGTTGCTCCAAGAGGAGTTGGTGAGCTGTTTTGGAAGTTGTTGCGTCTGCTGCGGTGGTGGCGGCTGTGGCGGCTGCTGGAGGGGCGGTGGAGGTTGAGGCTGCGGGGGCGCCATCTGCGCCGGCTGGAAGTATGACGGCGTGGATGTGTAACCGCTAGACTCATAGCTGGAATAGCTGAGACCGACTGAAGCAACAAAGAAAGCAACACAGTTAGACGATACGCTGGCGGGTATTTGTGGCGTATAAATTTGAATCAGCGGCGACCGTACCGGAGTAAGACGCAGCAGCTGTGGAGCTGAAGGAAGAACTGGGGGTGTAGGTGGATATGGGGGCTGGAGTTTGCTGTACGCTGGTTGATGTTGGGTAGATGGTGTAGCTAGAGGACACAGAGCTCGCAGCGGGAGGGGGTTTCAGAGCTGCGACCTGTCTTTGAACAGGCGGCTGACTGTATGCTGTGCTCGTCGTGCCGTAGCCGGTTTTCAACCCTGAAAAGGCAAAGATGTTCTCATTTAAACCTAAGAATTGGAAGCTATATCTGAGCAGTATAGCTAGATTTTTTTTTCTTTTTAGTATATCGACGATATTTGATTGCTATGAAATAGGTTAGATTGGCTGGTTGTTGTTGTTTTTTTCAATCAAACAGTCATTGAGTCAAGTGCATTCAAAATGTTTAATGCAAGACGTAAAAGTTCACATGGTTTCTCACCAAAAGAACATGAATATTTAATTATTTTAATTTATATGCACCAATGTAACAAAACAATGAACAATAATACAACACTATTATTTATATACTACTATAGCATTTATTAATATTTTAAATTAGCTTTTATTTTTCATGTTACAAACTTTCATTTTGATTCCAGTTTAAGTTTTAGTAATTTTATGTACAAATGTATTTGTAATTTTTATACAGTTTTTTTATTATTATTATTTCTGTTTGGCTTTATTTCTTTTTTTTTTAGACTTCATCTTAAACTTATTCTATTTCCGTTAGTTTCCAAGGCAACATTTCCTCTTTACATTTAAGTTTATATCTTATATTTATATTTTAGTTTAGCTTCATTTCAATTAATGACAACTATTTTTAATAGCTTTAGTTAACAAAAGCTACACTGATATACTCAGAGTAAAACGTTTTAATTTAAATAAAAATGCAACAATAAACCTTTGATCTAGAATTTTAATTTAAACAGCTTGATTCATTGAAACTGATTTTCGAAAATGAATCAAACTTGCCAAATTAACAAGTTCGTAAGTTTTTTAAAAAACTTTGATCAAAAAATGCATTAAAATCATTGCAATAATCACAATATTGGTTAAATTTATAATTACAATAATTAATTCTAATGCTTATATATTTTCTATAATATTATATATAATTCTATAATATAATTTATAATTATATTTCACTATTATTCTTACAAAAATAAAAAATGCATGACATATAACATTAATTAAACTATATCATATTTCCAAATGACATTACTTTTATGGTTACAAATACCGAAATTTATTTACAAAATTACTTAGCATTTCTAACCGGGAATGTTGCAAACCCCACTTGGATCTGCATTACCCGCATGAGTCCCAAAGCTCGATATGTCTGCTGGAAAAACTGGAAACATATTCACAAAACATGCAAAAACTTAAGGCATAGTTCACCCAAAAATGGAGACCACCAACAGCATGGTTACCAACATTCTTCAAAATACCTTCTTTTGTGTTCAACAGAAAAAAGAAACTCATACAGGTTTGGAACAACTTGAAGACGAGTAAATCATGACCATTTTTATTTTGGGGCGAACTACTTCTCTAAAAACACATTATTTCATCTTCGATAAATCTGTTTATGTACCTGGCAGATTCAAAAGCATTCAAGTCAGATTGAAAGAGAAATCAGATGCACCTGTCTGGAAGTAGGCCTCGGTTGCGGTTTGCTGCACAGGTGCGATGCTCGTTTGAAAGTACTGCTTGTTCTCGTAGCTGCTGACCGACGGCAGTCGACCGTAGCTATAATTCTCCTGTATAACCAAATTAATTTGGGATTAAGTAAATGAGCCCACCTGAGAGGCATCATTAATATGAATGATGCAAAGAGAAGACTGACCGGTTCAGTCAGCACCTGGTAGGTTTGATGGGTGGTCGTCAGCTGCGGCGACGTTTCGGGCTGCTGGTAGCAGTAGTTGGGGGCAGGATGGGGCTGGTAGGTGGGGTAGGGGGCGGTGACCGCGGGACTCGCCGGTGGGGCGGTGGGGTACGAGGCCGTCACAGCATGGGCCACTCCAGGGGCGGCCTGGATGTTATAGCTGCCCGTGGTTGGGTGGGAATAGACAGGAGGCGGCTGGGCGCTGGATGGGAATTTCAGGATTCAGAATGAATGTGGTTTATATGCACCATTACAAGGGTCCAAAATACCATGGTAATAGTATATACTTTAAAGAACACCAAAATATAGTACTTTCTGCAAGCACTTTTAATGCACCCTTTACAGTACAATGTAATTATATGGTAAAAGCATAGTACTAAATGTTTACCATGGTATTAACATGGTACTACGAGTCCATAAGAACGGCAGCACCGCGGTATTTATACTAGCACACGCATATTTCATTTTTCACGATATCAAAACATCATGCAAGCATCAATAAACACATAAACAGCAGCAGCTTATGAGATATTTGCGCACTGGCCGTCAGCATCTCGCTTAAATATCCGTCGTGGCTTTATGACTGCTGTAAATGAGCGGTGTGTTCATGCGCGTTTGTGTGTGTGTTTGTTTTGTACCTGTACTGCGGGCCGGCGGCGGCAGCTGCGGCTGCATGTGTGAATCCATAATAATTACTGGCCGCCATCATAGAAACTTCAGCGGCAGCGGCGGCGCTCACGTGATCGACACGTGTCCGTGACGTCACCGGTGACCTTCCCCCCCGTGGAATTATCTGTGGAATTCAGCTTAAAGATGTAAATAATTATTCCTATTTTTAAAAGTGGAGATAGACGTCTTTTTTTTATTAAACTTTTTATAAACTGAACAGTATACACATAACATTTATTTAAAAAATACAAATAAAAAAATAGATAAATAACCGTACAAAATGGAAAAAACAAAGATAGCTTAAATAATATACAAAAAAATAAATAAATGAATAAAATAAATACAAATACAATGACTACAAAAAGCCCCTGACAACATTTCAAATGTCAAGCAAATTTGTTTCGATTAGTGTCCTGTTGGACACTAATCGAACTGTTGGACTGTTGGAAAATGTCCGATTTCAACTGTAAACCTGCAGTCATTTTCTCAAATATACTGTATATATCTGATTCAGGTTCGTGCATCTTCAACCAATACACAGTGATTATCTTCCTAGCTGTCATTAATAATATATGTAATACAAATAGGTGGGGAGATAGACGTCTTTTTTCCAATTACAGACCCGTTTCTCTGCTTTCCCAGTTCTCGAAAATTTTAGAGAAGTTACTTGTGCGCACGCTTGATAATTTTGTAGATAAACACAAACTATTGGGTGAACATCAGTATGGCTTTAGAGCAAATAGGTCGACCTCAATGGCAGTGATGGAACTGTAGAAGAGATTTCCACTTCAATTTATAATAATGAATACTGTGGGGGTGTTCCTAGATTAAAAAAAAAAAAGCTTTTGACAATTTATTATGGTTTATTAGTGATGAAACTGGAAAGATATGGTGTAATGGTTAAAAAGTTACCTTGATGACAAATATCAATTTGTACAAATAAATAATGTTAAATCAGATCTAATGAAAGTCACTTGTGGTGTTCCACAAGGTTCGGTGCTAGGCACCATATTGTTTGTACTGTAAATAAATGATATTTGTAAAGTGTCTAAAATATTAAAAATGGTTTTGTTAGCTGATGACACAAATTTATATTGTTCAGGGAATAATTTGGAACAGCTTCTGAATACAGTGTAAATTGAACTGATGATAATGAATGATAATAGACTTTCATTGAATTTAAGAAAATAAAAGTTCATAATATTTAGTAATCGACAAAGTAATAACAAAGCTAAAATTAGGATTAACAATGAGGAAATAGAAAGAGTGCATGAAAATACATTTCTGGGTGTTATAATAGATCATAAATTATGCTGGAAACCACATATAAATCATGTAAAAACAAAAATGTCTAAATTCATTGCGATATTAAATAGAACAAAACATATTCTGAACTAAAAAACATTAAATATATTGTATTGTGCACTCATAGTTCCATACATTACTTATTGTGTGGAGGTGTGGGGTCATACCAATATAAATTCAATATATATGTTACAAAAGAGAGCAATAAGGACTGTAAAATGGGTTGACTATTACGAACCAACAAACAAATTGTTTATTAAATTACATGCTTTAAAATTGGATGATTTAGTTGGATAAATATAAATATGGGTACATAAATATAAATAAATATTTTACTATATAAAATATATTTAAAATATAAAATATGTAACATATTATGAGAACTGTAAAAATATATAACATATATAACATATAATATAAAACAGAAAGTAACATAT